ACTAGCATGCATAGGATAGCTAGATATAACTTGATCTTATACAAGTGGTACTAGAGCCTTGCTTCTAATGTTCATCTCACGAGGTATCTAGTTTGTCTTTGCTTTTCAAGTGATATCTAGCAAATTATGGTGCTAAGGATGATGTTCAAATGGCAACTCTGATTGGTATCACGCTTCAAAGGAACATTCTTTACACCTTAGCATCATTTGGTAGCTATTACTCTCCCAAACTTCTAATCCATGCATATGTGCAAGCTTTCAAATCCAAACTCTTAGCACATATGTAGGGGGAGCTAATACTACCAAATTGGGTTGATGAAACTTGTCTATAATCTTTACACATGATAATATGCTTAGGCAAGCAATATGAATCCAAAAAGATTTTATTGAATATCTTTGTAAATAGGTTGTCGTCAATTACCAAAAAGGGGGAGATTGAAAACCCTAGTTTGGTTTTGGATAATTGATGAAACCTAGCACCAACCTTTGTCATGAGTTGTGATATGAGCTAGGTTGGTGCAATCCAAGTGTGGAGCATGGTGACACTCAAGAGATGGTGATAATCACATGAAATGCTAAGATGACCACATGTGATGATGATCAAGTGCTCAACTTAGAAAAGAAGAAAGAGAAAAACAAAAACCGAGAAGATCAAGGCAAAGGTATATGATAGGTTTTTATTTTGGCACTTAAGACACCATAGAGGGTGTAAGTGCACTTAGGATCGATAGCCGTACTATAAAGAGAAGAAATATTTGGCTAAACGGTTTATCGAGTACCACTAGGTGACATAATTCTTGCATATGCATTTAGGAACCTAGTGTGCTAACCTTGACCCTTGTAAAATGCTTTGAAAAATGATAACACACGTGCACAAAAGTTCTACACTTTGTGGTTAGCAAGTTGGAAGCAAGGTTGAAGCGGTTGTGGACTTAGAAAAGGAAAAAGAGGAGAAGGTCCACGACCGGACGCTGGCCACGGGGTGACCGGACTCACCCCAGGCGTGTCCAGTCATTTATAGGTGCGGCGCGCTATCTAGCCGAGACTGAGCAGAAGCGATCGAATGCTGGGGCTAGGTAAACCGGCGTGTCCGGTCAACCTTTGGCGGGCGTGTCAAGTCAGCGTTGACCTAACGCGTCTGGCCAGTTATTTCCTGCTTTGGATCATCTCTGTAAATGACCTGATGCTCTATGTATGTGAGTCCGATCGTTCCAGCATTGAGTCTGGTCGCTACTTAATGTATCACGCGACTGAGAGATGACCGTTGAGATTGGACGGCTCTGGTTCAAATGGAGGATGCATGGCAGCCATCGGGTGACTGGACTCACCTGACCGGACGCAGGGCAACGTCCGGTCACAGCGTCTGGTCAGGCCGTGGCAGAGCCAACGGCTCTATTTCGTGAGCCCGTCTATAAATAGTGTTTGGTCAGCTTGGGGCTCACTCTCTTGGCACTTTGACATACTTGACATCATTGTGAGCCTAAGCAAACACCTCCTACTCATCTCCATCATTGATTCATCATCATAGTGAGATTGGGAGTGATTCCAAGTGCATTTACTTAAGTGATTGCATCTAGTGGCACTTGGGGATTGTTGTGCTACGGATTTCTTGTTTCTCTTGGTGATTGCCGCCACCTAGACGGCTTAGAGCAGCAGAGGAGCTTCGGCACGAGTTAGTGATTGTTTGTGGGCGGCTCCGGTGATTGTGAGGGGTCTTGCACCTTTCCCGGCGAAGAGCCTCAAGGTAGCTCTGGTAAATTGCTCGTGTCATTGAGTTACCTTACTTGTGGGTAGGTTCTTGCAGTGCCTCTTGTGGTGAGCTAGGTGTGTGATACCTATTAGCCGCCGAACCACCGAGTGTTGGTCGACTCAACAGGGACTAGCGTGCCGGCAAACATGTGAACCTCGGGAGAAAAATTGATTGTCTCTTGCCCTTTGATATTCTCCTAGTGATTGAATTGGTATTCATCTTGTGATTGGTTCACTCCTCTACGTGGTGGTATAATCAGCCTACTCACTCATTTACATTCTCACAAACTAGTTGTAGCAAGCTCTTCAGTGTAGCTAGAATTGAGAGCTTACTTTGTAGCTTAAGTTCATCTAGTGGAGCTCTTTAGTGTAGCAAGTTTGAGAGCTCTTAGTGAGTAGTGACTTATCCAATTGTGTGCCTAGTAATTATAGTAACTAGAATTGTTGGATAGGTGGCTTGCAACCCTTGTAGAGCCAGAGCAAAATTGCATTGCGCCATTTGTGTTACTAACCAATTTGCTCTAGTGCTTTGTAGAAGTTTTAAATAGGCTATTCACCCTCCTCTATCAATATTAGGACCTTTCACTCTCTCCTCTCTTCTAACCGTTATCACACTCATTCATTGCTCACCAACCTTCGTCCAAAACAGCTCCCAAGCATTCAAGGCGCCCCTCTTCTCTCTCCTTTGCTCCAATCTTTGATTCGCCTAGGGTTTTGAGTGAAAGGAGAATGGATTGAGTGAGAGAATTACTTTGACAAGCTTGAGCACTTGATTTCTTTGTCAAGCCAGTTAGATTTGCGTCTATTACTCTTGGAGTTTTGCTCCTAGCTGGCTAGGCATCACCCAAGAGCTTCCATCTTGTGGAAGAGCCATTGAAAGTTTGTATTACCATTGATTTTATTAGTGGAAAGCTCAAGTGACCTTTGTGATTGCCTTGATAGAGGCAAGGAGGTGAAAGAGATTCCGACCTTTGTGGTCACCTCAACAACAAGGACGTAGGAGCTCCTTTGTGGGGTTACCGAACCTCGGGATAAATCCTTGTGTCCCACGTGCTTGTTGTTGTTGGAATTTATGCTATCATATTTGTTCTTGTTGGTTTCTCTTTCTCCCCAAAGTTTCTCTTAGGGTTTGGACTCGATCTACCGAATGGTGACCTTCTGGCATCAAAGGAGCAACCCCAATGCTTCATCTTACCACCAGGAAGTGGGGTTGTAAGATATCTCGTACTCAAAGTTCATTTTAGCACTTGTAGTAAAATTCTCGTTAAATGCCGGAACTCCTGGCTGTTTGCGTCGGAAGTTCTAGCTCAAACTGTCGGGGCTTCCGACTGTTATTGACATTTGACTTTGAGATTACGTAGAAATTTTTAAATACATCTATTCACCCCCTTCTAGGCATTGTTTAGATCCTTTCATAGATCCTATTCAAATTTAAATCATGTGAGTAAACTTTAAGTCACCTGAAACCCGTAAAACCCGTCCACTATACAAGACCATCTTCACAAAATGGATCCTCCTAACAACCAAGAGAAGTTTGGCTTCGTACCCCTATTATATCGTGTCACTCGCACTAATGCCTTGTCCCATGTGTAACCACCATGGGAGAGGATGGAATTAATGGGATATACTTCGAGCTGTTCGACTGATGGTTTCTGCAGCTGATAAGCGGGCTGATGCTGATTTGTTGTGAGAGAAAAATACTTTTTTATGGCTGATAAGTTCAAGCGAACGTTGCTGAGTGTAAGTCTGCTCGTACAATTGGGAAGAGGTAAAGAGATTGTTGTTAAAAGGGTCTCATATATACTAACTCATCTTCATGATTCTTCGTTGATGACGTGCAACATGCCATACAGCGAAGTTGAGTCTAAAAGATACTACGTTCATCTACTGTCGTTATACCAAGGATGGGCAAAATTACCCGCACACCCCTAAAACGTTATTATAAGTTACATCTGATTCATAGTTAATGGATATGTTTCATACGTCCTGTCATTGGTATAGCCACCAATGCGCATGATAATTGATCACTCACCAGCACTTAAGTTTTTCATCTAGAACATGCATTATTTTTCCTTAAACAAATGAACCAGGACACTCTTTTCTGAGACATGATTCATTAATTGCTGGTACGTCTTGTCACTAGTTAGACTGATGCCACTCTTCTTTCTAAAACGACCATAATTTTGGGAAAAGGGAGTAAGTTAACGACTTAAATAGTCAATCAACATAGTTGAGGGAGAAAATTGAGTCAACCATAAAGTTCAAGGATGAAAATGTCAATTCAGCCGGAGAAAGAAAAAAAAAACACTATATTGCCTTGACTAGGATGTACTAAGGTTGATAGTGACAGCTTCGTCCATCTTTTATCCTCACTGTCAAGAGCAAGACTTCTAGTATATCGGTAGCCCCTTATTACTCTCTAGGCTTGCTCATTTCCTGGTAACACAAGTACCCAAATCTAGGGCCGTTTCAGGATTATTAGAGGAAAAGAGTGCGGAAACAAAAGTACTACTACCAGGTCTATCAGCAGCCCCATTTTGTGGTAGGCAAAGCTACTCATGCCTTCTTTAAATGATGGTCGGGAATCAGTATTCAGTATTATAGCACTTTCGTTTATATTTGATAATTATTGTCCAATCATAACTTAACTAGGCTCAAAAGATTCATCTCGTAATTTACAATCAAACTGTGTAATTAGTTATTTTTTTTATCTACATTTAATACTCCATACATGTGTCAAAGATTTGATGTGATGGAGAGAGAGTGAAAAAACTTAAAATCTACACAAGGGTCTTGTTTAGATTGCCTCAAAGTTTCAAGTTTTTTCACTCTCTCAATCACATCAATTTTTAGACGCATGTATGGAGCATTAAATATAGATAAAAAAAGTAACTAATTGCATAGTTTAGTTGTAAATTATGAGACGAATCTTTTGAGTCTAGTTAATTTATGATCAGACAAAATTTGTCAAATACAAATAAAACGTAGACAGTATCCAGATTACGAAAATTTACGATCTAAACCAGGCCAAGGCCTCATTTTGTTCTCTTCCCCGAAGCAGCAAGCCTGGTGCGCCCCACACGCCGCACCCGCACCCGCAGCCAGCACCCACCTCCGCCGCTGCCCACCATGAATCCGATCCGCCAGCACGGCATCCTCCCCAATCCTCCTTCGTGACTGCCTGCCCCCCGCGATGTGTTCCTAGGTCCGCCGCCGCAGCCGCCGCCGCCTCCCGCTCCGGTGGGGCGCAGATGCTGAGCTTCTCCTCCTCCTCCAATGGCGCAGCAGGTGAGCGAGATGTTGCAGATCTTTTCATTTTTCCTCTTCTTTTTTCTTTTTCTTTTCGGGTTTTCCCGTGGGGAAGATACTGTTGCATCTGTGGGGGCTGCAGTGTTCTGTCTGAGCTGAGCTGACCCGACCCCAGCTGTGATTGATTGCTTGCTCATGGGTCACGGCCGGCCATGGCCATGGCATCCCTCGCCTCCTCTGCAAAAGCCCACGCCTTTGGGGTCTTGTCACGGGCAAAAGACGCGCATGTTCATTATTATTCCCCTCCCTTTTGCTTTCGCAAGCCCCCCCAGTATGTGTCCTCTGCCCCCCTAAAGATGCAATCTTTATCCTCTTTGTGCACATACCTCACCCGCGAAAAAGCTAAAGGGGTCACTGATTGGTGCTGGCTGCTTCCTTAAATCTTGCATGTGTGGGAACTAGGAGGCCATTGGTCACGGGCACTGTTTTCCCCTACTGTTCCTGCTTCCTGTGTCCTCACCATCCTAGATTCCCAGTATTTGTTCTTTGCTATTACTGATGATGTTCTTGTGATGAAGGGTTGGGTCTGTGCTCAGGTGCCAGCAAGATGCAGAGTGTGTTGTCGAGGGTGAGGGGGCCTTTCACTCCCACGCAGTGGATGGAGCTGGAGCACCAGGCCCTGATCTACAAGCACTTCGCGGTCAATGCCCCTGTGCCGTCAAGCTTGCTCCTCCCTATCAAAAGAAGCCTCAATCCATGGAGTAGCCTTGGCTCCAGCTCATGTAACTAGTCCTCTCTAACTTTCCTCTATTGTTGTCAATACCTGAATATAAGAATAGTGAAAGTAAGACACAAAACTGAGCAAGTAAAATGGTCAGCTAGGTGTAGATTTACTGTAAATCCAGTGCTCTGTTTCTTGTTTTGGCTTTATCTAGGATACGTGTGTTGTCATCGGTTCGTTTCAATAAGGCACATTAGAAATTTACAAGTCTGGGCATAATAATAACAGTCTCAATGATTTACTAGTGTTGGAAACATGATTTTTTTAGATATAAAGCACTTGTTGCATTGGGATCTAGTTGTTCCTTATCTTTTCTGGAACAAGATGAAGAGTTGTCATCATTAGTCTGTAAGTCTGTTGTAATATAAGCATCTTCAGATGCAAACCTGGCCACTTGATGATGCTCTGAAGTTTTTACTGTTGTTGGGCTAGTGTCATTAAAACACATTTGGGGGGTTCTTTATTGCATTCTTATTTGTAATGGGGAATCTATTTTGCAGTAGGATGGGCACCATTTCGTTCTGGCTCTGGTGACGCAGAACCAGGAAGATGCCGCCGCACAGATGGCAAGAAGTGGCGGTGCTCTAGAGATGCTGTTGGGGACCAAAAATACTGTGAGCGACACATAAAACGTGGTTGCCACCGTTCAAGAAAGCATGTGGAAGGCGAAAGCGATACCCACCATTGCAGATCCGACCATGGTTGTTTCTGGTGGTTCATTGTTGTACAGCCATGCTGTGGCTTGGCAGCAGCAGGGCAAAAGCTTAGCTGCTAATATGACTGATCCGTTCTCACTAGTGTCCAACAGGTGAAGTCACCTGATTACTATACTCTTTTCTGCCACTTAAGTTTGTGATTGATTATTTTCTCAACATAAATGTCATCTATGGTTGATACATGTGCCAGTCTAGCATTCAGGATTCAGGACAAACCAAAACATTCAAAATGTTATATCTTTAGACATTTGAATTTTGTCCACATCCATTCATAATTAAACATTTCGATCTTGATTTCTTTCAATTGATCAGTGATTTCTTCATGTAGCCTGCCATTGATGCATTCCATCTTTTATACCCGTGCTCATTCCTATATATGAGATTTATTATTTTTGTCTGTTAAAACAACTATGGTAAGCAACTAAGCATGTACAAAGTAAGGCTGTAGGAAGCACTATAAATAACTGGGAAGATATGGTACTTATGCCTCTACGAACTTTAGATATAGCTGAATTGTAGAATTCATGATACACTTCAAATTTTGATGACTTATTATACTCAACAGTGATGGAAAAACAGGACAGTTCTTTCTTCCATGAACTTGAGATGTTGACTCTGGTTTGCAGGAATTTGCTGGATAAACAGAATATAGGCGACCAGTTCTCTGTATCCACTTCCATGGATTCCTTTGACTTCTCAGCGTCACATTCTTCCCCAAACCATGACAAAGTAGCATTTTCACCGGTGGATATACAGCATGAACATGATCAGCTGTATCTTGTGCATGGAGCAGGCAGTTCAGCAGAATACGTTAACAAGTCTCAGGATGGTCAGCTACTGGTCTCCAGGGAAACAATTGATGATGGACCTCTAGGCGAGGTTTTCAAAGGCAAGAGTTGCCAGTCAGCATCTGTGGACATCTTAACTGACCAATGGACTTCAACTTGTGAGTTGCATTCTCCAACCGGAATCCTACAAATGTCTAGTAGCAACACAGTGCCAGTAGAGAACCACACAAGTAACAATAGCTATCTCATGGCGAGGATGGTGAATTCTCTGACGGTCCCAACACTCCACTAAGTGTTCATCAGGCTGGTCTTGTTGGGACCACAAATAACTGAAACCATGTTATTGTCATGAGTTTGCTGATACTAGGTTTTCAGTCAAGAGTCTTGTAACTTCTGTTTTAGTTGTTATATGTTCACGTTATGTTTTTGACGCATATATTTGTTCTTTTAAATTATTTTAATACTTCAGCTTATTTATTTATTTATTGATGTAAATTATTTAATTTCATAATAAATATTTATATAAATTTATAATTTCATAATAAATATTTATATAAATATAATATTGATTGATTAATTGATATATTTAGTTATTAAATATTTATTGATAACTATATTATTTTTACGTGCTATGCTTGTGTATGTTATATACACAAATTGTAACACCCCAAAATTTGTCTCTTTTGAAAATAGGATTAAAGTGATTTAGTTGTGTATTTTTGTGCTCATGAAATATAGGAAAATTAATTTTTTTTATTAAATTAAAATTTATCATAAGGTAGCAATATGTTTGAGCATACATGTCCTTGCATTTGATTTATTTGGTTGAGTGGTTTTGACGAAAAATTTAAAATGGTTTAAATTGCTTTTGCAAATGAAATTAAAAATGGCTTTGAAGTAAAAGAAAAGAATGGAAAAGAAAATCTAAAAATAAAAGAGTTCAACAAGTTGTAAAATTTATTCTTAGAAAACTTAATAAAATTTCTCATTTTTATTAGAATTAAAAAGTGTATTTTAAATCATATACGAATTTGATTTGGTTTGCATTTGGATTTGAATTTGAAAACAAAATGGAAAAAAAGATTTGAAAATGAAAAACCTTTTCCCCTTCTCTTCTGGCCGAACGGCCTAGCTCTCTTCCTCCTGATCTCGCGGCCCAGCTCTCTCTAACCGCATGGCCGGCTTCCTGCTCCCCGTTTCCCTGCTCGGCTTCTGCTTCCGCGGCCCAGTAGTAAGCCAGCCGGCCCAACCAGGCCGACGCCGCGTTCCTCCTTTCCCCTTCTCTATCGTTGACAGGTAAGCCCCGTCCGTCAGGCCTTTCTCCCACCTTTCGTCATCGCTCCGGACTCCACCACTGGGACTCTGCGTCGTTTCCGCCGCGTCCGGTGTCGTGCCGCCCAAGCCGCGCCAGCCCCATATAAGCCGAGCCGCACCTTGCGCCACCTCCCTACTCCGCCCTCCAGCGCCACAGCCATCATCACGCGAGTCGCCGTGGCCCTAGCCGCCGCGAGCTTGGAGAGCCGCACACTGCCCCATCCTCTCCATGCCGCCACGGATCTGCTCTCGTCCGCGTGAAGCAGCTAGGTGAGCTCGCCGTTCTCTTCTCCACCTCCCCAAGTCCTTCGTTGAAGCAATCGTGCTCGGAATCACTGTTCCGGCGAAGCTCTATCGCGGGCAATGGCTGACCACCGCCGCCGTCTTCTCTTTCCGGCCGGCGTGCGTCCTCTCTCTCCCTTGCTTCTATTCTTAGCCGTCCAAAATAGATCCAACGGTCGAGATTTCATGTTACCTCTTCGCCTGGCATAATTTCTAAAGAGCCCCTCTAGTTTTCCGTTTTCAAACCCGCGGTCCAAAGCGCAATCACATAGTACATTTCTTGTTTGGAAAGCATAGTTTCTTCGGTTTGGATCCAAAATACGTTTTCACTTATTTATAGCTTTGCTACTACCTTCTTTAGGCCATAACTTCTCCGTTTTTAACTCCGATTTGACCTGTTCAACTTGCGTTAGGTTCGTAATTTCATAATCTACATGTTTATAGTACTATTAAGTATGTTTTCAACTTTTAAAATTCGAGGTTAGATTTAATATATTATTTTAATAAAGGAAATCTTGTTTAATTCATATCTTCTACGTTTTAGCCCCGAATTGACCCGTTCAAGTTGTGCTAGATTCATTGCAACAATATCTACGCGTTAGTAACAATGTTTATCATGATACTATTTCTGGAATTTCATTGTTTTAACTCTAATTTGAATAATAATTATGCAACTGGATTTTATAAATAAAATATAATTTGTTTTACTTTAGTTTTATAATTCAAATCTAAATTTAACTTGATTCAATTTATATTATTTATAAAATATCTTATACATATGAATTTATATAGATAAAATAAATGAAGCCTATAGTTTTCTTTTTCACGTATTAAGCCAATTTTATCGGTTGATGTATCTTTTTCATCTTAGCTCCGATTAGCGTGCTTTTCGCGTATGTGTGTTCATAGCGAGACGTAGGTTCGTTTTACAAACTTTTCATCTTGATTTTATGTTTGGTGTACTATTCTAATTTAGATCTATTGTTTGCTTCGTGTATGATTGCATGAATGGTTGTATGGTGCTTTATTATCATGTCCAGTCGGTGAGATATATGTGGTGATCAAGAAGAAGAAGAAGAAGAATGTTGAAGATTAAAGCTTACCAAAGGATCGGTGTTTTAAGGCAAATATAGCATGGGATCTTCCTTATTGTCCTATATACCATTAATCACTTATCATACTGCATGTGTCTACCTTGACTACCACTAAGGATTTCCTAGTACTTTGTACCTTGTGCCTTGATATCTATGGGGTATTGTATTGGGTAGTATGATGCTAGTGCTCAACTACAACCATGATCTTGTAACTTGACTAATGGTATATGCAATAAATACTAAAAGATGCTTTTTAGCAATATGGAAACAGGGGGCTGGAGTGTTTAGCTACTTTCTAAATGCTCTAGATTTCTTTCCATAAGGACTTATCTGTAAGTGATCATTCGGGACTTACAGTACAGCTGTGAGGGCTATATGGCTCTGACTTTAGCTCAGTATGAGGATATTTTCTAGCTTGTCAGTGGTTACCTTTATGGCGCAAGAGGGGCTCCGGTTTGTATGATCTCGGCCTGCCAAGAGGGTGTACTTTGGTTTCTTTGTATTTTGTTAGTCACTCCTTGGAGGGGGGTTTATGCTTATTGATGAGAAAACCTTAGCGGCACTAACTTGTTAAATGAACCTTTGAAAGGCTTCATAGTAAACCCTACCGACCTTCCTTGGTAGTGGGTCAAGAGGCTCGCGACCTCGGGCGAAAGGGTAAATCACGACTCACAGTGAAAGTGTACAACCTCTGCAGAGTGTAAAACAAGTATATCAGCTGTGCTTATGGTCACGAGCAGCCTTGGAACATTTACGGAATAGATGGTCATTAATGGTTAATGATGATGAACACTGATAATAAAGATGCTCACCAATGATTATTGTTTATGCTATTCATTACTCATGTTTATCTGATCATGTGTTTATATGGGCTTGTGAATGAATTTGTTGCCACTCAATTGCTAAAAGATGTCTCATTAAAAGCTAATCGCAGTTAAATCAGTGTTAGCCTTTTGAGCCTCATGAATCCCATGTTATATTTATTGAGTACGACATGTACTTACGCTTGCTTTATTTTTCAATTATTTGGGTAAAAATCCCGAATGGGTACTAGATTGCTAGAGTTAGGAGAAATTAGGCTTGTGATCAACCAGTTAGTTGTTCCTGTGGATTTGGAGTATTCGCCTGAAAATCGGAGTTGTCTTTCCCCTGTCTATACACTGAGGTTATATTCTTTATACTAATACGTTATGTATTTAAGCATTGTCGATTGATATTACTCTTATTCGTAGCTATATGTAAGATTTGACTTCCTAGTCTTACATATGATGTGTATCTGGTTTTGTCCTTAAAACCGGGTGCTACACAAATGCTTTAATCTCTACTTGTGTGATAATTTTATAATTCCAATACTACTGATAAACTAAAATGGTTATTTGTTTTCTACCATTTTTATTTCAATTTCTTCGCTTGATCTATTATTTTATCAATATTATCTATTATAATTTAGTTTACTTCGATACTGAAGATTATTAGAAGTGTACTCTCATTTAGTTCACTTTGGTTAACGATGTAATTAGTAGTAAAATTTTATTCATGCATATTTGATTTAACAATTTACATTTTGAATTGAGTTGAGTAAATATCCGAAGAGAAATCCGAATCCGAGACATCCATTTTATATTCGTATTCGAGGATATCTGAATCCGTATTCGTATTTTCAATTAGATAAAATGTGTCCGATTCCATCCCTGCGAACAACCCTTGCAGCTCCCACCCAGCCCCGACAGGGTCCGTCCACGGTCCATCCCATCCGAACAGGGGAAGCACGGACCATTCAGGCAGTCACCCTCGTCCACGCACACGCCTTTCTTTCTTTCTTTAAGCTTGTTCGGCTGGCTTATTCGGCTGGCTAGGGCTGACCATGCCATTCAGTGGGACACTGTTTATGTCCTGTTAGAAGAGTATTTTTTTATCACAATAATCTATCAAAACAGTGTTTTTCAGTCCAGTCGAATTCTTACCGAGGACAGGGGAGGGGATCCTCCGCGCCAGCGCCCACCTGGCTACCCCATCCGCGGCTGACAACCGGCCCCCGACCGCAGCAAAAATCGCGCACCTTCCCTAATCCCTCCTCTGCCCCAAGCTTGTCGTTGCCTTGCGCGGTTGGCTGCGCCAGCGAGGCTCGCCCTCGCCCTCGCGCCGCTTACTTCTATTTTGCCCGGTCCCTTGAATTCGAATCCAAACGCGCGACCGTCGCCGCTGCGGCCGTGGGAAAGGAAACACACAAAAAAAGGCCAACGCCGTCTTCTCTTCCTCGAGGCCAAGCCGTCAAGGGAAGGAGGTGGAGCGCAGCTGCCTCTGCTAGGGTTTCCCATCTTCTCGGTGGAGGCGCCGCGCCTCCGGGACCCGGACCCTGCCAGGTGAGTGCTGCTACCTGGATCGAATCTTATCGTCCTTCGACGTCGGTGATCTCGCGCCGAAGGGGTGGGAGGTTCCATTCGTTCGTCTGCCAGGATGCTGCGCGGCTGGTTTTTGGGGGCGACGGTCCCGCCTCATCTGGTGTTGGGTCGTCGGTGAGGCGGATTTGGGTGTTCCTCTCTCACGCGTGGTGGGGTTGGTCGATTTTTTGGTCAAATTTTGCAACGGAGCTGTTGGATTTGAGACGAGTATGATTCGTGCGTTCCTTCGCCCGATTTCGTGTTGGTATGTAATCACAGCCTCACAGGGTGGGGAATATTGAACGTTTTCTCCTCTCTTTTTTTTTTCTTTCGGGGAATGATTCGTGTGCATATCACCATCTCATATTCTCAAGCCAGAGGCTACGTGTTCCGCTTGAAATGCTGCTTCCGAATATTTTCGATCGGAATCCCCCAATCGTGGCATATTTCCCCCCACTCCGAGCAGGATTTGATCTATTCTGACGTCGAATTTCTCATGTCAATTTTGATTCAGGTCCACGTTGATGCCAGGGAGGTGCAGCCGTCATTGATTCCCCTCCTGCAGCTGCATCCCCATGCCGACCATCACGCACTACGTGCTGGATCCCTTCCTTGAGACGGGGTCGCCTGCGCAGGTCCAGAAAGCCACGCCCAAGCCACGCCTGAGAGGACGCAGACGTCGCCGGCATCACTCTATGCCACGCCTGAGAGCACCACCCTGCCTGACTCACCTTCTCGTTCCCCGGAACCTGGTCGCCGTACATCATCAACCATAAGAGGCGGGGGGCCCCCTTGCCAAGACCTTCTCTCAGGGTGATGTTGGAAGTGAGGGCAGCCAGCCGAAGCTCCCAGTGATGCTGCCTGCTTTGCCCAAAGGGGGTGAACCCACTGCAGTGCAGGAGCCTGAGTTTGCGTTTCTGCAATCAGGGAATGGCCAAGCTGAAGGTGACAGCGGTGTGGAAGAGGCTACCATCAATGGAGAAAATGAAATCAGCCAAAAATGAGCAGAAGCAGCCTGAGTTTGAGTTTCAGCGTGGAAGTTTTGAAGCACTAGTGAGGCCTGTTAATGTTGGAAGGCCTTTGGTTGGTGGAGCACCAAAAAATGATGAGAGTGACACCTTCCTTGAACTTCAGGATTCGATGAGCGTGGCTAGCAATACTGAAGCTGATGATGCTGGTACGCAAGAGCGGTGGTGGAAGCCCAGTTCCCCTCTTGGGACCTCTATTGGGAAAAAGAAATGTGTAGGAGAAAAGCTGCTGAAAGGCTATCTATTAAAAAACTGCTGAAAGGGTATGGGTACAAACAAACTCAGTACCAACTGTGTAGGAGAAAATATCCTGGTCGTTGGTCTCCTAAGATGTAAGATTCATCATGTTTTGCTTTTTCTTGTAAGTTTTGCCACAGTGTTTTTAAAGTAGAATTGATCTTAGGAGTTTACCCTTTTGGCAGATTGACAATTTCTCCAGTCCTAAGTTTTCTGCTTCTGTTTTTTTTTAATGTGTAACAATAACGCTCACAGTAATTTTTGATGTTGTTAGAGGTATGCAAAAGTCTTCCTACATATGATTTTCCACGATATGAGTTAGTTTCAGGCTAGAACTAGAAATGTGGAGTATGTGTAGTCTCTCCCAGTTATGCCTTTAGCCCTGTTAGGGTTTGATTTTTTACAGTTGCCACTGTTTTGATTTGCCTCAGTCATCTTTATTTGGTTGAATCTATCTTCTCTTCAATCATGTGATACTCTGCAATCATCTATTGCGTTTGCATTGTAATGACTGATCACCATGAGCTAAGGTCTTTTACCCCAAATGATTGGAACTGTTTAGGATACATTAAATGTTGCATGGAGATAGTTTCTGCTAATCTTTTCTATTTTACTGGGAAAATTGCCCGTTTTACTATGGAAATTTCTGGACGCCTTGATGTATTCAGAACTAGTGGTTGCTATGGTGCTTTTGTGCTAACTTCAATGTTTTTTGTGAAAACTCAGAAATATCAAAGCAACTTGCAATTTCCACAATGGGGTGGGCGCACACCTCTTATCCTACGGCTCAGTTTGTTCCGTGATTCGTGCAGGTCAAAAAAGCACTGGCGCACGGGTTTTAAAGCACCGACGCACGGATTTTGAAACACTCCAGCACGAATCTTAATGCGAAATGGACGCCGGGAGATAAGGGGAGGGCGCCCTCCCCATTGTTGTTTGGCATTTCTGATATCAAAGTGATGGTGGAACTCGATCTTCACGAGCCATGGATGATGACCTCCGTGAAATGAGGCTAAGTCTGTTGATGGAAATTGAGAGGAGGAAGCAAGCAGAAGAAACACTTGAGATCTGGCAGAAGGAATGGAAGAAGCTGAGTCACCACCTATCATATGTTGCCTTATCACTTCCATCTCCAAGTATAGCTGAGGATACTGATGATTCAAGTGTGGATCCTGGAGCTGAGTTGTGCCAGCAAATAACTGTTTCATAACTTGTAGCTGCTGCTATTGCCCAGGGCTTTGCCCGTGCTGAAATCTGCAAAGAACTTAGAGATTGCAAGGCTGTCGGATAGGGTCCAGTACTATGAAGCTGCAAACAGGGAAATGTCCCAAAGAAACCAAGAAGCTATCGGTAAATACTTTCTCCATTGCAGTTGGCTATATTTTGTTCAGTGGTAATTTTTGTACAGAAGATGACCTTGATTAATACTATTTGAAATGGTGACACCCCTATGAAAGGCTTATATAGAATCTAAGGTAGTTGTGCAGCCCGTAAACAAAATCATGGGCACAAAATCCTCCTAGTCGGCACCTAAGTCCTAGGTGGTACCCTCCCTTCCTCTCCTTGTTCTTTTAGAACACTGCTGATTGTATATAGTTTTCAGGTGTTCGATAAATTATATGAGAGGTGAACATCTGTGGGAACTGGATGCAAAAAGCTTACAGACATTCTATATTGGATATGCAAAATATATTATATCTGTTTTCTAGGTTCTAACTAACATGAAATATGTTTGTTGTCTTGGAAGTATTCCTCCTATACTCTCTTAATTAACGTCGAGCTAAATGACTTTGTGTAACGTAGTAGAATTGAGGCTTCACATGCACTACACTCATCCACTTATTGAGATCGACTTGTATCAATCGGCATTTAACAAGGGTTGGTTTAACCATACTAGTGTTGGCTGCCTGCCTTTCACTTGAGGGAAAAATGTTGGCTGAATTGTTTGAGAAACATTTAATAGATGATATATTGATAGGTTTTTTAGTACTGTGTACTTTTGTATTCCAGCATATTAATGCTTGCATTTTTTTCTTGTGGTTTGCAGAGATGTCAAGGCAACAACGCTAGGAGCGTAAGAAGCGACAGAAGTGGTTCTGGGGTTCAGTTGGGCTTGCAGTCACCCTTGGTGCCACAGCCATTGTCTGGTCTTATCTACCTTCATCGCAGCCCCAAGCTAGTGTAGATTCAAACAGTACCGCCAGCGACTAGAGCTAGGATGAAGACATCTCATTTCAGAAGCCTAACAAAGCTCTAACTATACTCCTAGAGGGGAAAAAAGGTTGTATAAGTTCTCTTTTGGTGATGGGCCATGATCGCTACAATCTTCATTTGTTGCTTTTTGTCTGTAAAAATGTTGGATAGGATATCTCCGTTCAGGACTGGCTCCATTCCAATCACCGTAAATCTCTGCATAGATGGTTCATGGTTGAGCAAATAATACAAGGAATGTGAATATGGTTAGTAATCCATGCTCACCGACCCCAGTCAAGAGGAGTTGATTTTGTCAACCTCAGTTTTGTTCTGCTCATTCCTTTTTTCTCTTTTGAAACAAATAGATACGGAGTAAGAGATAAGCGTTACTTTCTCAGTTCTGTGCGCTTGTAATTGCATTAAGTGTGGTTCTGTAGCCAAGGGCTATCTGAACCCTTTGTGGCTATGACAAAGAGCAACTAAATGCCGTGTCCTGGGCAACAGAATTGACACATTCTGTTTTCATTGCTCCTTAAATTTTATATATTTATGTTTAGTAGGAACTGTCACTGTACATTGAAATAACGTTGCTGGGCACAAATAGCACCCATATAATGTTAGTTCTTGCATCTACCTTGAAACACTTGCATCTACATTGAAACATTTATAGGGTGATTGGTTTAAGGAATAGTTTAAAGAATGAGTTAGACCATGACCTTTTCACTCCTCACCTTTTTATTTGGTTTCTGGAATGTAATGGATTGATTCATCGTAACATCATTCCTCACAAACTAATAATTAGTACTAGTACGAGGAATGAAAACTAAGCATTATTTCACCAAATTTGAGGACTAGACTCAAGATGCACCACCTCTTCTAGAATAGTTCGGTCTCTTAATATCAATTCATCTAGAATGGTTTGATTCCTTAGTGTCAATGGAAGTGTCACATAAAGTTTGTACCCGAAGGAAGCATCATTTGCCAAACAAGCATACACACACTATTTATAATGTTATTTGTGACGATGGATCAATCCATTTCATTTCACTAAACAAAGAAAAAAAAGCAAGGAGTAAAACCATTCCTCAAACCGAACACTCTTTTTCTCATGTGAATATGTGATTGAAGTTTTTTTTACCTCAGACACTACTGGAAAACTGTACTTTGCCGAGTGTCTGAGACTTTGTCGAGTGCTTTTTATCGGGGCACTCGGCAAAGCAATATTTTGCCGAGTGCCGCACTCGGCAAAATAAAGCACTCGGCAAAGGTGGCTTTGCCGAGTGCCAGGCACTCGGCAAAGCCTGTCTCTCGGCAAAGCTCGACTTTGCCGAGTGCCGCGGCACTCGGCAAAAGTCCTACTCGGCAAAAGGTGGCCGGCCCGTGATGGCGGCCACCTGCAGTCAGATTTTGCCGAGTGCCTAACGGATAGCACTCGGAATTTTTTTTTTATTTTTAAAAACTTATTTTGCTGAGTGCCAGCCCCAGGCACTCGGCAATTTTTTTTATTTTTTAAAAACATATTTTGCCGAGTGCCAGCCCATGGCACTCGGCAATTTTTTTTATTCTTTAAAACTTATTTTGCCGAGAGCCAGACCAAGGCACTCGACAATTTTTTTTAAACATATTTTGCCGAGTGTAAGCCTTGGGCATTTGACAATTTTTTTTTAATTTTTTAAAACTTATTTTGCCGAGTGCCAACGCCAGGCACTCGGCAAAATTTTTTATTTTATTTTTGAAAATCAACTTTGCCGAGTGCCCCCTGGGCCGGCACTCGACAAAATATTTTTTTTATTTTGGGCCCAAATTTTTTTCTGTGGCCTTGTGACAGTATTTCAAACTCTATTTTAAAATTTGGGGCAATTTTGACTTTTTTTGATATATTTCATTAGTTTATTTCATTTCGTCGAATTTTTTGGGATATTTCAAATTTGAACTGCAGGTACATGGAATAATGGACTTTGGTCATCCAAAAATTGATACTCATGAATTTTTTGGGATGTCTGGGTTTTTGGCATCCGACGTCACAACTTGTTCGAAACCTTCACAATTTTTTACCATAGCCTCCACATGCGATAACACGACGCCTCGACAAGTTTCATGATTTTCGGACTTCGTTTGCATTTTATATAATTTAAAATCACATTTCTGGCAAGTACCTCGACATGTTACGTCAACCAGATGCTCGAGATTTCATGTGAGTTCCTGGATACGGCCTAAACATACCCTAAATATCATGAGTATCAATTTTGATGACCAAAGTTCATTATTCCATGTACCGCAGCTTCAAATTTGAAATATCCCAAAAAATTGACGATTTAAAGGAAATAAACTAATGAAATATATCAAAAAAGTCAAATTGCCCCAAATTTTAAAATAGAGTTTGAAATATCACACAAGACTCACGTAAAAAAATTTGGGCCCAATTTTTTTTTTTTGCCGAAAGTGCCATGGGGGACACTCTAGTGGACTTTGCCGAGTGCTAGCCCAGGGGGCACTCGGCAAAGTTGATTTTCAAAAATAAAGAAAAAATTCCCGAGTGCCTAGCGCTGGCACTCGGCAAAATAAGTTTTAAAAAATTAAAAAAAAATTGCCGAGTGCCCAAAGGCTTACACTCGGCAAAATATGTTTTTAAAAAATAAAAAAAAAATGCCGAGTGCCCTTTTCAAGCACTTTCAAGCAAAGCCCCCAATAGAAAATGGGCCATGCCCAAAATCCTCCCCCACCCCCCAACCCCTGAACCCTATCCGCCAAGCTCTGCTTGCCCCGACACACATCCCCGCCCGCTAGTGCCGCCACTCCATCACAGCCACGCCGGACGCTGGCTCCTCCTGTAGCCTTAATCGCACTCGTCCATTGTCCACCGCCGGCCCACGCATGTCACCGCCACTGTCAAGGCAAGATGGTCAGTCTCTCCCCAAGACGCTGGCAGTTCACAGTGCCTCGTCTCCCCTGCTCTTGCCGCCGGCTTGGAAGAAGGAGGAGGAAGCAACAGTAAGAAGAAGAAGGGAGGAGAAGAAGGAAGAAGGAAGAAAAAAGGGGAGAAAGAAAGAGAAGGAAAAGGAAGAAGAAGGAGAAGGAAAAAAGAGAAGAAAAAGGAAGGAGGAGGAGGAGAGGAAGGAGGAGGAGAAGGGGAGAGGGGGAGAGGGGGAGGAAGCTGAGGTGGAGGGGAGGAGGAGGTGCCTTGGCCGTCTTCTCCGCGTGCCCATCCCGCCGATGCCCCTACCATCACCGAACCGCCTATGAGCGTCAGCAAGGTATATCCACCCTTTCTTCGCTTGTCGGCCTTCGTGCCGTTGTGATGTTGGCCTTCGTGCCGCTGTGCTTATCGGCCTTCGTGCCGTTTGTGATTGTCGGCCTTCGTGCCGTTGTTTTTTGCAGATTTTGGAAACCTCCCCGTGCAGGGGAGGTGCTGCTGAAATTTTGAACTTATAGTGTCGTGTTTCTTCTTTTGCAGAGTAGGACCTATCGGAGGTGACCCGGAGGTCCCCGATCGTCTTCGTCGGCGTCGCGGGTCTGCCTGCACTGCGTCGCCTCGCCACTGCGTCGACTTGCCACTGCCTCGCTAGCCTAACTTCACCGACACCCTAGGTATAAATCATCTCTTTTTCTGCTTGTCTGTCGTCGTAGATCGGTGTAGCCTAGTTAGGCGTCTCCCGTCCGAAAGAGATATCTTTGGAGGTATGCAGATCTTTGCATATCTGCGAGCGTTTCTGTTTCGGATTGTCCACGTTTTTTTGGACAACCCGCGGATACGTAGATGGGTTAGTTTCTATGGTCCGCTCCGGTCCGAGATGGTGTTTCGGCATCACCCCCTGTTGTTCTCCGGATACACACTCTCCCTTGCAGGACATGTATCAGGAGAACAGCAGGGAGGTGCTGCCGAAATTCCATCCCGAATAAGAGCGGACCATGGAAACTAACCTCATCTACGGATCCGCGGGTGGGATTAGGACCTATCCTCACCTATTAGAGAGTAGGGACACCGCGTAGATGCAATTGATGGTGACTCATATGTGCTGATACGTCTGTTAAAGGATGGAGGACCGTGAGTGGATGTACACGCTCCGGAGAGACGAGCACGATTACGACTTGCTGTTTATAGTCAAGGTCGAAGAATTCTTACAGCATGCATATGGCGAGAGTGCTGGAGGCCATTCTCTAGTGGTTTGTCCGTGCAGCGGTTGTGACAACAGAAGAAGGAAAGATAGGTTAACCATGGGTAAACATATTGTGAAGTTTAGATTTACTCCGGGCTATCCACCATGGTGAAGCCGATCGTATCAGGGAGGAGGTGGTGAGACCATGGCTCGAGGCTTTCAATGATGATGCCGGGGTAGCAGACATGCTGGATGACACGCACCAAGCTCAGTTCGCTGAAGGACGTGACAAGGAGGAGATGGAGGCTGCCGTAGATGCCTTCTACCTGATGTTGGACTCGGCACAGAGACCCCTTCACGATCATACTAATGTTTCTCAGCTAGATGCCATTGGTTGCGTAACGGGGTTGAAGGCCGAGTTAAACCTAAGTCGAGAAGGCTTCGACAAGATGGTGGCCGTGTGGAGCGATATGCTACCGAAGACACACATTATGTCGAAGAACTTGTACGAGTCAGAGAAGCCCCTTCTTGCACTTAAGATGCCGTATGACAAGATACATGTGTGTCCGAAGGGGTGCGTCCTATTTAGGAAAGAACACGCGGATGCAAAATACTGCCCGAAGTATAAATCCTCTAGGTACGTGGAGGTAGACTCAGGCGATGGCCAGAAGAGGCAGCTTAAGATCCCCATGAGAGTCCTACGACACCTTCCGTTCCTGCCGAGGCTCCAACGGCTATTCATGACCGAGGAATCCGCAAAACAGATGACATGGCACAAAA